TTTCTGTGTGTCTGTTGGGCTTACACTGGGAATAGGCACTAGGTTGTGCCAGTGCCATCGGCACGTTTGCACAAAATCGTTCCAAAGTAATGCTGCGTCATAAATGCCTGGCATTGTAGATAAGACACGAGCGCAGAGAGGGAGGGGTAGGACATGAGTGATTAATACGATACAATAGTGGTACAATAAAACCCTAAAACCCTAAACCCCTTATGCGAGACAACAGCGTATGAGCGCAGAGAGAGATGGGTATGACATGAGTGACTAATACGATCCATTGGTGGTAAAATAAGACATGCGAGACAATAGAGTATGCATGTGGTAGAATAAATATTATGACATTTCAACATACATATGAGAAAGACCAATACATGTGATGCAATAAGATACGTGTGTAGTAGAAGCAGATATGTGACACAATAACATACATGTACACATGTGCAACAATACGACATGTGATACAATAAGATACGCGTGTAGTAGAAGCAGATATGTGACACAATAACATACATGTACACATGTGCAACAATACGACATGTGATGCAATAAGATACGTGTGTAGTAGAAGCAGACATGTGACACAGTAACATACATGTACACATGTGAAACAATACGACAAGTGATGCAATAAGATACGTGTTTAGTAGAAGCAGACATGTGACACAGTAACATACATGTACACATGTGCAACAATAAGACATGTGATGCAATAAGATACATGTGTAGTAGAAGCAGACATGTGACACAGTAACATACATGTACACATTTACAACAATACGACAAGGTGTACCACGCCACACAGCGCACACGCGAGCATATGAGACGTGACAGTGCTCAACTACACAGTACGTCCATGTGCCAAAGAGACGACTCAGAGCACGCGCAGACAGACCACTGTTGTAACAGAATGTAACACAGGCGCTTCAGGCGGCAGTTTTAACAGGACATCCTATCATTATATACGTGTAACAACGGCAAGTACCGGTGACACAGGCGCTTCAGTAAGTAGTTTTAACAGGCCATCCTATCATTATAGACGTATAACAACGGCACGTACCTCTGTAGTGTCGATCGAGCACGCACATGTACATGCCCAAGGCAGCGGTTATACACTGATAAGGGTCGTTGTAGTTCCACGGGGGTCGTTCCAGACCTTTTGCTTTGGGTTTAGGGTGAAGTGGTGGATGGCAAGAATGAGCCCGCGCGCTGTTATGGAGTGTGTGACGTATGTGATATGGCAGGTGCTGCTGTGGTGTGGTGTATGTGATATGGCAGGTGCTGCTTTGCTTGAGTGTATGGCTGTGGCTGTGGCTGTGTCCCCACTTGCTCGTGAATTGTACGTACAAGCTCGTGACATCTATGCCACCTCCGTACGCAAGCGTATGTGACATCTGAGATATGTGGAATTGCTGTACATACGTTATAGGCTTATAGGAAAGACTATCTGTGATCAAAGAGTGGCGTGTCATGCATGTATAATAGACACCAACTACGAATGTCACGCTGTCTCCATGGCAACGTAACTCTCGGCATCCTGTCTAGGGTACACACAAATAATCTGCAGAAGTTTGAAGGTCAATAACAAGGATGACATTATCGCATCGAATACACACACACACATTTCCCACAAAGACTTCACTAGCATAGATATCAGGGCACCACTGCAGAGACACCATTTACACATATAGGAATGAGACGTGATATATAAAGATTATTTGTGCCCAAGATACACGTATTATCTATGGTGAGACATAACATCTATGGTAGTGAAACACATACATAAAAAATAAATACATAGTATGTATGGTTAGACGTAGTATCTATGGCGGTGAAAGTCATATAACTCATATGGCCACTGCATAGACACCATCCACACATTAGGAATGAGACGTGATGTCTAGAGATTATTTGTGCCCAAGATTCACATATTATTAATGGTGAGACATAGTATCTATGGTAGTGAAACACATACATATAATAAAAATGCATAGTATGTATGAATAGACATAGTATCTATGGCAGTGAAACACATACATACAACTCCTACCGCCGCCGCCGCCTCAATAGAACAGCACGGAGAACACCATTGACTATGAAGAACACACAATATTACATCACCACCACCGCATATAGCCTCCCAATAGCAAGACATCCTCCCAGCTGCGATGAACACATATCATTATATCACCACCACCGCATATAGCCTCCCAATAACAAGACATCCTCCCAGCTGCAATGAACACATAACATTATATCACCACCACCGCATATAGCCTCCCAATAGCAAGACATCCTCCCAGCTGCGATGAACACATAACATTACATCACCACCACTACCGGATATAGCCTCCCAATAGCAAGACATCCTCCCACCAGTACCAACAACGCCCACCCACACCCCAACACGACCCCACAGACACCGGCATTGATCCCGCCACTCCACCACCCCCCCCCCCCCCGGTTTTTCTCGACTACAAACCTAGTTTTTTCTCAATCTCGGCCTTCAGATTGAAGCACCGCGACACCATCATGACCACATCGTCCTGGGTCAGCCCGTGGCGGCCTGGTTTGTGTGTGCTGTGGGAACTGTTGCGCATGAGCCTGGCCCCTTGGGTGGTGATCTGTGTACCTGCTGAGCCGATGGCCGTAGACAGGTGATTGACTGCCTGGCTGAGACCGGCGGGGTCGTAGCCATAGCCGGAGTTCTACGAAGTACGAAAGTACGGCAGAGACGGGTGGAGATGAACTACGGGTGAATGTGGAGCAGGGTATGACACAGGGAGTGTATACGCACGCGCCAATGGCAACTGCACGTGTTGTGGTATCGTAGTCGGTACAAACAGATCCCACCACTCGTCTACTTCCTGATACATACACTACACCAACACACCCCCACAGCCACTCACCGCGTGCTTGGCTGTCATCTCTTCAAAGCCTTCTTTGCCCAGTGCTCGAGGCGCCTCACTGTCGCCCTCCACGAAGTGGCGGCTCAGTTGGTTCTCGCTAGTCAGCATGCTCAACACGGGAGCCTGTGGTTTATAAGCGCGATAAACCATGGGTTATTTACGCCATAAACTGTGTTTTGTATGAGTAATAAACGGATGGCAATTAATGTGACGAGCGTGGTTCGTATACATGGAACCAGTAGTACGTGTTTGCTGATTGTGTAAAGTGAACTGTGCTGTCATTCGGAGCGTCTCAGACAACTACATATACATTCTCGTGTATTTCCAAACTTCGTTTCTGGTCTGCGTTTGGTTGGCTATGCCTACCCGATATGCCTACCCATAATATTTACCGATATGTTTATCCATAATATCTACCGATATGTCTACCCAAAATATCTACCGATATGTCTACCCATAATATCTACCGATATGTCTACTCATAATATCTACCGATATGTCTACCCATAATATCTACCGATAAGTCTACCCATAATATCTACCGATATACCTATGTACCCATAATACTTGGCCTATCAGGACGGGCGCCTGCACTGGTCGGTTTGACGTACAGGGTTACATACGATATGCCAGCCGCAGGTGTTGAGCACGCACACCCACATGCGAACAGAGGAGTGACTATACACGATAGTTACAATATGTTGAGAGAGATCTATGAGTTACACCTCCACACCTCTGCCATCCAGACACGGCCCAGAGATAGCCTACGCTACGCAAGCGTCCCTGCAATCATGCCGTAAGTGTTTAATTCACAAACACACACTTGTATATATGCTAAGCACTACCTACTGTACGATTGTATGTGTATAGGATGTGTAAGGTGCACAAGCACACCTCTGCCATCCAGACAGCCCGGCGATAGCCTACGCTACGCAAGCGTGCCTCCTATCATGTCGTTTGCGTTGTTGTTGATACCGCAGGCTAAATACAGAAACACACACACA